TGACTTTATTTGCAAAATCTCTCTGAAATTTGTAAAAATGGGCATAACTTTTGCATACTAACTCGGATGAAAAAGTTTTTTATATGAAAAATCATCTACTCGAAAAGTTACATCCAAATTTAACTGGGGGAACCCCGTTAAACATTTTCAAAATCCTCAAAAACCTAATAGAAAAAAAGTTACGGGGCTTGTAAGATCTAGAGTGGAAAAAATTGAAAAATATTCAAACAGTGGGCAAACTATGGTCAAACAATGGTCAAACTAATTATTCTAGAATATTAGTGTTACTAAATAATTATTTTAATTATTTCAATTTTGGTCAAATCTGGTCAAACTGTGGTCAAACTGTGGTCAAACAATGGTCAAACTAATTATTCAAGAAATATTAGTGTTACTAAATAATTATTGTTTTTTAAAACAATAGTTTCAAACTCAAACAGTGAAATGTGCCACTTCATGCTCAAGCAAAATTCCTGAAGGTTAATAGGATTGACATCTTATTATTGTCAGGAAAACAACAAGTGCAGACTTGGAGCGTGGGAGAATAGAACCCGAAAGTTAAGCGTGCTTGGGCTGGAGTAGTGAGAGGGATGGGTGACCGGTTGGGAAGTTAGATGATTTGGAATGATGAGGGGTGATAAAAGAATAAATTGAGAAGTGACGAGGGGTGGTGATTAGAGACTAGAGGTTAAAATAATTCAGAAATTTGAAAAAAAAATTCATTTTTTTTTCAAAAACCTGTGGCGGCCTTTAGTCGCGGTTAGCCACAAGAACCGCGACTAAAGGTCCTCCGCCCACGTGGACGGGCCTTTAGTCGCGGTTCTTAAGCAACCGCGACTAAAGGGGGGGGCCTTTAGTCGCGTCCGTCTGGTCGCGGTTGCGCAACCGCGATTAATGGCAGTTGCGAACCGCGACCAAAGGCCCTTTTTCCACCAGTGCATGGTCGGACGAACAAAATAATTTTCTTCTATGCACGATTCAGACCGAGCAAAATTCCCAACAACCGAAACTCGAATGAGCTATATATGAATTCGTGATTACAGTATACACTATGTCATTACTAGTATTTACACGTCCGTCGACGCATTAGGAAACAGAAGCGTATCTTCTTTCAGCTAGTTGCCTAGGTGAACAGGTCGAGCAGGACGGGCGGCTGGTCGGCGGCGGCATGGTGCCCCGCCACCTCCTGACCCGGCAGCAGCGCGACCCAGCGATAGTCGGCGCCGTGCAGGGCCATCTGCTCACGGTGCCGCCTCATGTGCCCCCCCAGCGCCTGGTCCATCTCGAAGCCCAGCCTGATGTGACACTGGTGTTGTTTCTCCTCGCGTTTTTTCCGTTCCTTGATGGCTCTGGTGACGCCGACGCCGAGCTCCAGCCCGTGGCGGCCGCGGAGGTGGCTGGTCCGGTGCCCGCCCAGCGCCTGGAACGTAGCGAAGGCCCGGCCGCACGTCTTGCACACGAACTCCCCCTCCCCCGAGGTTACCACCACGGCGCCCCTCCTGCGCTTGGCCGGCGCACCGGCGCCCGAGTCGGAAGACGTCCCGGCGGAAGGCGCCGAGTCCGTGCTGAGGGACAGCGCCAGCGACACAGTTGCCTCCTCCTCCATCGTGTGCTTCATCCCGGCTCCCATGAATTCGCTTGTGGATTTTGATCCCTCGATTTCCTCCGGTCCTTCCACAGCTTAGTTTGTCTGTGGTCTGAGAGAACTAAGAAGCGAGAAGGAATGTTGATCGGCCGGGGCGGCGTAGTTATATATAGGTTTACGACGAGGTGCCGTGGGTGCCAAGTTGGTGGGGTATGGCAAACAAACCGCCATTTTGTTAGCTTGGACTGAGGGTCTACTCCACCCTAAGTAAACCATTGTGATGACATCGCACGGCGTACGTAATTTACTTACCAAATGCTCGATCACCCGTGTGCCCCTAAAAACTAGTGCTTGTAATTGCCTTGCCGCGTGAGTGCTAGGTTCAGATATATGCATGCATGCATGGCGAAAACTTGGTTGTTGACCTACAGGTTCGTGCAATGTCGAGGACATGGACCGGCTGCATGTTTCTCAAGTTGTTTGGCTTCAGTTTGAACAAGAGTATCTACAACCGGACCTCTCAAACCCGCCTCATACGTTCGGGCGGGCCGCCAGGTCACTGTCCGGTCACGATTTTTTGATCCAGATGGACCCTTCAAACTGCCGGGCTGACCGGCCCCATATCCAGTCCAAATATGGGGCGCCTGGGCACGCCGTGCACGCCCGCCACGTTGGCCCCGACCCACGCTGGCCCACCCGACCCCACATAAAATTTTCATCCGCTAGCCGGACCAAACCCTAGCCACTTCACTCCCCTCCCCTTCACTCCCCATGTGCCACCCAAACTCGTCTCCGACTCCATCCGGTCATCTCCGGCATAGCGGGCAGCGGATCCGAGTCCTTCACCTCTATATCCGTCAACCCCAAGCTCATCCCGCACGGCCCCAAGGAGGAGATGGCCGTCCGGCTTGCGCTCAGCCGCGCTCGAGAGGGGAGGCCTGCGGACGGCTGCGCTCGAACTCCATCCGTTGGGGATCCATTCCGTCCGCCCAAATGGGGCATGGATCCGGCGCAAGGCCGGCCGTAGCTGCCTCGCTGGAGGCCATGCGGTCCATGTGGCGTCCGAACACGCTGGCGGAGGCGCAACCCCTCCGGTAGCGCGCCGATATTGGGGACGCACCATCATCCCATGAGGCCATGGTACGGCGTGCACGCCGTGCAAGGCACCGGGCGCGGGAGGCGCGACGGCAGCCCTCGCGACGGCGGACGTCGGTGAGATGGAGTCACATTCTTCGGCGCAACATATGGTGCATCAGTCCGGGCGCCGCAACCGCATCGTGGTGGTCGTCGGC